GGCGGAGCACTCGTGCGAGGAAGGTGAGGAGGAGAGGCAGGGGCAGCAGCTGGGAAACGAGCACTGCTTCCCACCCCTCCGCTGCTTTGAAGAAAGGGCTTTTTAAAACCAGGTCTGAAAGTCCCGGGAGGGTGGAGGGGAGGGCTGCACGCGCTTCAAATCGACGCTGTCTCTGAACAGGTTTTGAGAACGGGATTGCCGCCATGCACTCGCTTAAAATGTCGAGTTTACTGCGGCTTTAAATCTCCTCTTGTCGCTGCATTAAACTGCAATGACTGGAGCGTTGTGCAGACGAAACCGATTTGCCGGGGGAGCCATCGAGTACGGAATATCCACGACAACAAAAACAGTGACCTGTTCAAGCTGACAGCTCGCCACGGCCTGGAAGGCAGCCGTCCCCAAACTCTGCCAGCTTCCACACCTCCCATGGAAAACATACAACCCTAAGTACCGCCAGCAAATGTTTCAGTTCGACCCTAAGTACCGCCAGCAATTTTTTTGTCTCGTAATTATAATAAATTTGCTAACATATACCACTGACAGGTTGTCTGCAATGCACTGGTGGCACCTGTACCACAGATTGGGAACTGCTGGTATAAGGTTTATAGGCAAAGGGCTCAGAAGAAAGAGTCGCTTAGGTACAGTGGAATTATTTTTATATATAACTTTATTAATAATATAAATGCCAAAAGAGGTTTATTTGTGTGTTTAAACAAACAACTTTTGACAGTTATATTATGAATAAAGTTCTTACACACACTTTCCTTTTATTCAAAAGGAAAAGGAATAAAAAAAGCAAGTAGGGTTTATTCGGGTTACTATTCTGATCTATCTGCACTGTTGCCAAGCTGGTCAATAGTTGAGTCAATGCTTTACTTGGTTATTTCACCTTACCTTAAAAACCATCAAGGCCTTCATTTGTAGTGCGTCCCCAATTTTAGCCCAATAAAAGAATCTGTGTGCACGTATTTCTCAGAAGAAAAACAACACTTTTCCATTGTTGTGAACAACTGCACTCATAGGCGAGAACAAACAGTAAATGCCTTTCTTTCTCTTGACCCCAATCACTCCTTTCTGTGATTGAAAAATGTGCTATCAGAAATAGGTAATTACTTTACAAATTAAATCCTAAAAGTAAAAAAAAATCTCAAACTATTATTCCAAGTTTCACCTCAGCCAAAGCAGAAAAGTTCTAAGAAATAAAACCTGACTTCTTTTACAGAGTTTTTGTCAGTAGATCTCAAAAGGCTGCACAAAGAGAGTCCTTATCTTTATACCCTTGCAGGCTAGAAAGAAGAACACATTCACATTCGAGCCACCCATGTTATAACCATGCTGTTTGAGCAATCCTTCATGACTTAAGGGTGAGGAAAGGCCTAGAATTAATCTTGCCTCTAACTGACTGGAAGATAGAAAATCACCAAGCATCATTAAAATGATCATTTCTCCTAAAAAAAAAACCTAAAGAAAAAAACCCTCAGGTTTTTTGGTTAATAAAACACACTCATGGTTCCCTATTCCCCTCTACAGCCAATCCTGAGGTCCTGCTCATGGTCCTGCATCCTGCTCAGCTGAGTAGTGTGGAAAGTGTTTGCAAAAGCTACATGCCCACTCCAAATGGACTTTACAAGAACTGGATTGAGTAATGCTTTATTCATTTTTTTTTAAACTCACTGTATTTGAAAACTAGTTTGGGAAGAATGGCAATAAGTAAAATTACTCTGAGTACGTGATAAATGGGATTCCTTTACTACAAGCAGCAACTTGCACAATCGGCACTGGTGTGAGTCTGTTGAAAAAACAAGCCTCAACAAACAGAAGTACTGTTATGATTTAGGTTTCAAATTTCTGGTGTAAGTAAAAGGTTGTTAACTTTGTTAAGTAACAATTTATATAAATAGTATTGAAATGTATTTAATAGACTCCACCTCAACTGAGCAATAATTGCATCATTCTGATGGAAAGGGGAAAGCATGCAGTACGTTTAAAAACATCCCTTGTTTTAACGTAAGTATTTTTATATTTAAGTGTATGGATATCAGTGCTATTTTCTCCCCATTGCTAAATTCCAGAACATCCTATTATTCTATTAATTCTTACAATCAAGAAAGTAATAGTATTTATCGCTGAGAATCCAAGGCCCGTCAGACATTACAATTAAGACAGGATTAACCTGTTAAATCGGGCCATAAATAGTAACTCGGCCATCCATTCAGGTAACTAATAGATTGACCAAGTGGGAAACCTGCCACAAAAAAATATTCCACAAAACATTTTTCCACAGTAACACTTCTGTGTTTCCATTGTGCCTAAAATGGAACATGTGGCAGGGTAACCCTACCATGCAGCCTGATGCTGGCTGCAGGCTGAGGCTTAGTTGACAACTTCCCTGTTGGCAGGCTGATTGCCATGTGGGACAGCCCTGTGTGGGGCTGCCCCTCATGGTTTTCAGGGTGCCAAGTTGAGGGGAGCTCACCAGCAGTGCTGGGGTGCCAGGTCCCTACTACCCAGCATAACACGTGCCTTGCTCTGCAGCTCCAGCAGGGATCGAAGAACAAGGCACATTCTGGTGTCAGGTGATGGTGAGCTACATGGCTCAGTGAGTCCTGAAAGGTTGATTGCCTTTTCCACATTTGCTCCGGAGCTGCAGAGCAAGACACTTGATACATCCCAGCCATGGGAGGACCCTGGGATCAACGAGAAGTTCTTTGATCCCAGGGCTGCTGTGGGCTAAGACCTTTAACAAGCGCACACATAGTCCACCTGTATACATGGTTTTCTGACATCCCCAGCACATGGGGACCCCAGGATCAGGGAACCTCTCCCTGATCCCAGGGCAACAGGACCTTAAAAAACTGTGCGTGCAATTGTTTCTCTGGTATTTGCAGTTCTGAGGCTGGGGCTGAGAACTGGCCCTGGGACTGAACTGGAGTCTTGATCTGGCCCCAGTGTAGTCTTGGGGCTGGGACCAAACATAAGCTGATTGTCAGTCCCAGCCCTGGGACCACAATGGATTCCTGATGCAGCCCTGGTGTGGTCCAGGCCCTGGGACCAACAAGCAGCTGACTGTCAGTCCATGTCCTGGGACCACACTGGTTGCTTTCACTTTGGTCTTGAGATCTTGGTCCTGGGCTCCCCCTCCACTAGCAAGTAATAATGGCAAGAATGGATTCTAATCCATGATCCCAAAATCGTGCATCCTGCCATGCACATGCGGTATGGCAGGAGGCATGCTTGTTGGGATCAGATCCCATGGCACCATTAAATGAATGTGCACCAGGGACCCCAGTAGAACATGACTGTTCATGCTTCCAAACCTAAGAGTGTTAAGGCCAAAGTTAAATCAAGGCAACCTAAATAGATGTATGCCAGGTTTAAAAAAAAAATCTAAGATTATAAAGAGACTTGCGCAAATTTTAAAATACACCCTTTAATTAAACCAATGTAATCTTTTTATATAAAGAAAGCATTAGACTGTTTTCTATTTAAAGTTTTGGAGAGCCAATGGAATAAACTTTGAGTAGCTTATTATTTCCTTCTTTGATAGTTAGGAATGAAGAGAAGGCTCCTGCTCCAAAGAACCTGTACTTTAAACCAACAACCTACAGAGAACATAGAATGATGAAGTTAAGCAATCAACTTCACTCTGTATTTGGATGATTCTCCTTTTCTAATCAACTAAGAACTTAAAACACTAAACCTAAATCAGTGTCTAACTAAGACCACCTGACCCAGTTTTTCTAAAATGAGATGCTGTCATCCATAATCCAAGCTTGGGCAATTAGAACAGATCTTAGGCTAGCAATACTTTTAAAACAAGAACTCTACTTTAAAGAAACCCTGAATCACTTGATTTTTTTAAAGTGTACCAAGTACAAAATTGTACGTACAAGTGTTCAGAAGATCCAAGAAAATTCTCATGGTTTTGTTCCACTCAGCGAACTCCTACCCACAACACCCCCGGGTAAGTGTAAATGCATTTGTTCCTCTGGTAGAAACTCTACCAGGACTTACTTGTACCCTCCTGGAGTACAGTCAGTTTAGTTTTCTACCAGAACTGCCATTTGTGGTTTGGTAGAAACTATGTGCACACGTGTACACTTTGGGTTTCCCTGGGGAAACTGAGATTTTCCTGGTAGAAGCCTAACACTCGTGCACACCCTACGAGTACCATCTTTGTTTTGACTTCTTAATACCAGCCCGGTAAAGGTTAGACACAGTTTACCAGCAACGTTTGTCTCATGAGATCCTAAATTCTTCAGTAAAAGAAATGTCTTTTACTACATCCTGATTCACCACCCAGCACAATAAGGACCTGATTTCATTTGCAGCAGCACTGAACTCTACATACGAGTGTTTCTACGCATGTGTCGTGTTCACACCTGAAAAAAAATCAAATTCCATTCTTTGATTTACAGTTGTGTCACTTCATAGCAAGGTCCCAAGCTTTTTATCTATTTACCGTTGGAAAAAACAGCTTTCCCTAAATACGTTTCACCTTAAGTTGGGCACAGCTTTACAGTCAAGCTGATTCTTAAAACACTTTGAAGTTGAGTTTTCACTGCTAGTTCTATTTAGTTAATATTTAAAGACATAATCCTGTAAGTACTGTATCCTTTGGACAGTTTCCAAGAACTTTAACATACTTCCCAACTGTCACTCAATGGTGTTTTTTAATAGAGTTTTGAAAAACAATTATGAGTTTAAATAGTTGTGGCATGGCAGCCCCC